TGAAGGGTCGTCTTTCTGATGGAAACGTGATTTCAGTTGTTGAAATTGAAGAGTTCTCTGAATGTAATGGCAGCGAAGTTCTGTTTCCCCAAAATCTGAGACGCACAAAGCGGTGTCCACATAATTACTATGAATGATCGCAGATTTTTCTCCTCAGATGTTTTACTTAGCGTCACACTTTGTTTAGAATGGATCACTGTATGCTTTAATTGTCAATTCTAGTTTTTAATCCATTCAATCTAACGTTCTTGAAGACTACCGTTATTAACAACGAAATGGAAACAAAAGACTAGAAAAACTTGATTGTGAACGAAAAGATTGAATACGTTTATGATTATACTGATCTGTCGTAGAAATAGTTTTTATTCTTTGATTACTATTTTCTTTTCATCGACCAGAGCCAAGCGAACAATGTGTAATCTCTCACTCTCTCCAGTGTCACAACTGCTCACCTACAAGTGTAGAATGATGAATACACACTCACAACATACATAACTGATATAAGGTACGCAACCTCGATGACTCGCCAGAGACAAGTTGTTCCTCTAACGACAACGCTATGGCAGAAAGTGAAAGGCAGAAAATAGTCAAGTAATGCCAACATTAATGTCTCTCTGTTGCAGCCAGTGAATGATTAGCGTTTATCATGGGTGTACATGAGAGGGGAGGGTGATGATTGTATAAAACTGCGAGTTCTTAAGGATTTCTTAGACAATCTGATCCTTGCATAAACAAGTGAAAACATTGTGGCGTAATATTGTGTGTCTACTTCTTGAGTGCAAATTCTACACCAACTTTCTGTGTTTCGCAGTATTGTAGTTAATCGAAAACAGATGTTCCCAAAATGTTCCGGAGAGCCCTATGGTTTCTCGAAAGTCATTTCAGATTTTTTTCGATATTATTAAAAGTGAAGTTCAAAACGGATTTTTAAATGAAACAAATGCACTTAAAAAAGAAACAATTTTGATTTAATGCATATTGCCTTTGATAAAATTCCTTTGATAAAATAAATGTTTACTAATTTGAACGGTGTTATCTTTTCACCACTTTCTCTCAACTTACTACTGACACAAAGTAATTAATCAATAATATTTGCTGACGAAAGTTTGTTACGGACTTGCAACACTTAAATAAAGATTAGGAATCGAGTGTGTGAGAATTCCACGAAAAGTATCTTACAGTGAGTTCCATGATTCGAAACATTTTCTGGACCCCGAAATAACACTACAGAATGACATTTGTGTCAAATTATTCTATTCAAGTAATTTTTGTAATAATTAATGTTAACTTCAGTCATATTTTTTATTAATAAAAGTTACGATATCGTTTCTTTCTGCTGCCTTTAGTAAGTAAAATTTCTAAACATAATTAATTATCTTTACATAATATATCCGAAATGTTTCTGGAATATATTTTTTGAGACATACTTACAGTGTCATATCTTAGTCCCAATGCAAACTAAGACTAAATACTAATGGTCTTGGGAAGCGACAGTGCATTTTCCGCTCATTTTTGAATCCGCTGATGTAATGGACGCTTCTTGTGCTTACGAGTTCCCGTCGGCTACTGCGTGAGAATGGAAATACGCACGGTGATAAAGTTCTATAGGGAGAACCGCGTCGGCGGCGGCGATGGTGCCACGGTTAGCGTATCGGACTGTTCTACCCAAGTTGGCGGTTTCAAACCCGATAGAAACCGTGGAGCTTTAAGGGTAAGAAAATCCTTCGTACGCCTTCCTTCGGAGGAGAAGTAAAGCCGGCTGTCCCATGTTAGTTGATGTACTTGCATGTAAAAGATCCTCAAGCCTAAATGACGCCTCTGAGCTAAATTCAAATCGCCTGTTTCGTCGACCAAGAAATACCTCCTTTCTTCGCTAGTTGGTGAAAAGAGCGTAGCGACTTTGTGTGGTCAGACGGAAGAGCGGGCCTTATGGCTCGAGTCTCCATATAAAATAAGACATTAATTCAATTCAATTCAACCGCGTAAGAAAATTTCGACATGACGAAATGTACTTACGGTGATAAATTATAGCTCGCTTGGTAATGTACGACTGGCTCAAGCGATTCAGGGAGGGGAGGCAATCGTTAAATGACGACCCAAGGTATGGATGTCCTTCCACAAGCTTATTGGGAAAAAATGTTCCTGTTCTAGCTTCTTGTCCACGACTGACGTAATACAAATAGTTTGATAGCCAAGAAGTATAATATCAATTTAAAAAAAATCACACAATTAACGCCCAGTTCTCAACCGAAGCCATGATTGGTTTCAGCTGCACAACGCCTGCATCATGCCCCATGCATCTAAGATTTCTAGCGGTCGGGCAGTTTAAAAACTAAAAGTGAAATGGCAACTTTGTCACGTCATCCCTATACATCTGATCTGCCAACAGCGGACGTTTTTGTTCCCTAAGCTAAAAGCCCAAATGAAAGGACGGTATGCAGATCTGTTTTCGAAATTCAAATTGCAGGGACGTCCCATTTTGCCACTTTCAAAAACATACGTAAAAGGAAACTTTCTAGGGAATTCTAAACATTTCTGGCAAGAAGTCAGTTGTGCGTTGAAAGAGGAGGTCTTTATACAAAGTTAAAGAAGTAAAAGAGGTAGGAATGTAAAATCGATATTTATATTTTCGCATTCCAGTATCTTCTTGAATTTCTTGTGTACATTAACGTTCTCTGTGCCTGGCGCACAGTTAAAAAGGACGGGTCTTTCACAATTGCTAATGAAATGGAAACCCCATCATTTCCCTATCCTAGTAACGCCGAATATCATAAAACTCCATAACCTTAATCTCGAAACACTCATTAAGAATACATTAAGCTTACTTTTGTTTGGAAAAGATACTACCCTTAATAATTGCTTTTACATATATAAAGTAATTACTAAATTCAATACAGCCAAAAAATATACACCTACGTATTAGTAATAAAAACTGTCTCAGTCATCTTTAAGAGAGGAATAAAATCTTTATTAATATAAAAACAGCAGAACATGCAATTAAATGTAGAGAGAAAATAAAACTGTATTTTGTTTCGAAAGTTCAAGTTGGAAGAAAAATATTTTTATTGTTTTTGTAGCAGCCGATGTGATCAGATAGTTTATAGATCAATACACCTCAACATTCTCGCGAATCGTCAGCTTTAATTATTCATAGTTGTGTAATTGTTGTAATCGCTCATTTTAAATGGTTCAATAACCATGATTATTTTCTAGCTAATCATAAAATAAGGTCATTTCAATTGACAATTTTTATAGTAACAGTTTAAGATATCTGAAAGATTGTTTTCGAAAGGGCTGTGAACCGACGATTGGTTTGTAGTTTTTCCTTGAAGAGAAAATGGTTTCTGCCAATAGATGAGAAAGTTGAATGGCACTTCCATATATAGAAATAAAATACATCCTTCTCACTACATTTTGTGATAAATATTCCTAAAAGGTATTTACATTATAATTAATTTTGCGAGTTATACGATGGTCTTCATTAAAGTCAGTTAAATCGTTAAAACGGAAAACTGAGGTATTTATTTGGAATCATGGAACATTTCAACCCTAGGTTTTTTAACATCCCTTTGTAATTCAATATTGCAATTTATTTATTGATATTCATTGTGCGTAACTGTTATACGATTTACTGACAGTATCAGAGGATGTAAAATCAAATGAATTAGCTGCGTTCTGTGGCAATAATTGAGGACAAAATTTTTGCTATCTTGCAGGGATAAGAATATTGATAGAAAATCATCATTGAGAGACACGACAGTTTCACGTGTGAAGCAAAATGCCAATTAATATTTAACATTACAGAACACCCGTGAGTCATACACAAGACACATTGACCTAGAACATACATTCAACATAGAACGTGTTACACTCTCAATTTAAGATAAAATTAAATAATAAATGTATGAGGAGAATAAAATTGTTAATTTTCTATTCAATAAAATTTAAAGACTGTGAACACTGAAATGATCGATCACAATATATGTGAGAACTTTGCAACACTTTGTTAGTAATTATAAAAAATAAAATATGTATTCCCATTTAAGGCTTGTATGAAGTGTGCCAAAACCCGGTGCTTAATAAGGGTTTCGAGAATGCAGTACGTACAATAAACGTAAAATTAGAAATTATATTTCGGACGCATTTGGAAACGCTTCTGCGCAGAACAGTAGCGATCAAAATTAAGTATTACCGGCCTGGATAGTCGAGATCGCTAAGGCTACGGGGCCGTATCTGCCTCGGCTCAACGGGTTGCGGGTTCGAATCCCTCCTCGACTATGGAGTTTGTGTGTTCGATTAGATTGTATTTACTTGGTCAAAAAACAGGGAAAAACTATATGTGACGTATGGAGGAGAAGAAAATCTGCGCACGTTTCTTTGAGTTCTAGAACCCTTTCCCGTCATTTTAACTATAAATAGTTGGAAGATGAGTAAAAGTTTAAAATAAAAAAAAATTAAAAAATCACGCGATTAGCAATATTTGAAAAAATAGACATTTCGTAGCAAGTATGATTTTTCTGCATTACTAACAAAATTGTAACGCGCCCTTACCTCTTTTCCTACCATTGCAAGCAAAAGGAGAGTTCAACAAAACGGGCGCATTGTGAAGCTACATTTACGACCAGAAGCAAAACAAGAGGCCATCTCAGCAGTTGCTCAATGGATCAGGGAAACTGCACAAAAACCTGATTGAGATGGGGGTGTTCGTGTTGTCCTTACGTGTTCTTCCTACAGTTAAAACAATCACAGTGGTCGCTATATGACGAAGTTGTTGAAAAGCGACCTTAAAAACATTAAGAATTAATTTGTTTATGCTAAATGGCTTATTGACTCATAAACGTTTTCCTTGCAGCAATGGCGTGGACGGAACTTCTGTGGGTGGCAGCAGCGCTGCTGGCACTCCTGTACCTGTTCGTCACGTCCAACAACCAGTTCTTCGTGGAGAAGCGCCTGCCCTACAGGAGGCCCATCCCGCTGCTGGGCAGCATGGGGCCTCTGGTCTTCAAGAAGAAGAACCTGGCGCTGCTCTCGCAGGAGTTCTACCACCAGTTCAAGAGCTTCGGCATGGGCGGCATCTTCCTCTTCAGGAAGCCCGTGCTGGTCATCTGCGAGCCGGAGGTCGTGCGGCAGCTGTGCGTCAGGGAGCACGAGAACTTCGTCGACGACAACGCGGTCGCCACCGAGGACGGAGACGGCCTCTTCCACAAATCCATTCTCGCGCACTCCGGTGAGTTACTGCAGCCAAGCAATGGGCGCGGATTTTGTGGGGGAAATCAGCATTAAATGTGTGTACGTCATCATCACTAACACTACGAAAAGACGTCTTTACTCATTAGTTAAGAGTGTTACAACATACGGTTCAGATGTTTGGGAGATTGATAAAAGAACAGAAGGGAAGCTGCTGACCCTTGAAATGAACTTCTGGTGTGGAAGTTGTTGTTATAGCAGACGCGAACGAATCAGGAACGTCGACATTAAATGGATGTAAAGACATCTATCCTTGACGAAATAGGCAAAAAACAAATCGTCTGGTACGGTCATGTTATGCGAATGACAGACAAAAGATGGCCAAAACGATTCTGCAATGGTTGCCGAAAGAAATGCAGAAGAGAGGGAGACCCAGATTTGCATGGCAGCAGGGAGTGCAAGAGGCTATGACGGCAAGAGAAATGCAAGATGATTTATGGTCATAGACATGCATGGAGACTGAGAGCGGAGAAACGGCGACAGCTGTAGAGCTCCATACTATATATGTGCTGGCTGGAAGCAAATCCAGCCTTACAAGAACGTTCTAAAAATTGTTGTCGAGTTAATAACATATATACTAGTAAACTCCGAAATGAAAAGTATATAAGTCGCTCATTGCCGACAATATTGTGCATTACATTAGAGCTTTCAATGGCTTGCTCATCATCAGTTTTCGAGTACAAAAAAAAACAACATTACAACGTGAATATTTGTAATTTTGCACAACAATAATTACATAAAAAGATTAAACAATTTACAATTTTTGAAAATATATTTAACATTATAAGACAATGAAAGAGGGGCGTGTTAAATATATCCGCGCTTGCCAGGCTTTTATTCAATCTAACATGTTGAAGAAGGAACGATCAATTTGTATCATAGTTTAGAATCTGCGTTAAGATTTTGTATTAAATGTACTGGCTTCAATTTTTTTAATAAATTTTAAATCTTATTTCATTTTTTTTACTGTACATAGCTTAGGTTAAAAAATTTTTCATTTTATATACTGCACTAATTAGAATAAGAACTGTCTCAAGCATCTGTAAAAAGGAATAAAATACTTAACTAAATAAACACGCATAATATTTACAATAAATAAAGAGAAAAATAACTGGATTCTTTAAAAAGTTGACAGCTAGACGAACTTATTAGGTATCAGTTCACTCGCTCCTCCATTGGCCTCTGGTGGAATATATTGGAACCGTGCTCTGTTATGCGAGAGGCGAAAAATAATGATGCGTGGTACCAACATATTATTTAAACTATTTAATTCTGCATCTGTGTTGTATTAGTGTTTACCAAACTTTGCAAGGACTCTGCAACAATCCTGAAGAAGAGACTTAAAATTCCTTATCTCTTTATACCCTACGTCTTCTGTTATCGATGTCCGGTTATTAGTCGTTGAATTCTCTTTTATTATATATATTATAGATATTTTTAGTATAGATATGAATGTTTTATAAAACATGATTTTAAGAAGAATGTTTTGGCCCCTTTGCTTGGCACATTGCGTCGGTGTCACTCTGAATATAATTTAACAGTTTTTGTCTCTTAAATTTTGAGATTTTAGTATGAAGAGGTCAACAATTTTTATAAAATTATATTTTATCTCGTTTTCATTTGAGGTTCATGGCTGACATCACAAACTCAACATTAGAGTGTATTGCCATCAAAATTACAAAATGTGTTCTAATTTTCAAAAATTCATTTTTCTTATTCATTCATCTCATTCATTCATCAATTCTTATTTGGAGGTGTCAATTTTTGGAGTGAGGCTTCCGCGGCCTACGTTTCGCCCTGAGGAAGGTCGCAGATGGCGACCGAAACGTCGGCACCTATGCCATGGACGCGGCGTCACCCGGACAGCCAATTAAATAAAATTATTTTTGGAGTGTTAACGTAAATAGGCCGCATTTGTGTGAGAGAAGAATAGTACTCTCAAAAAACAAAATAATTCATTGGAATTGAATTTACTTACGTCCTCAAAGCTTCGTAAGTCACAAGAACATAAAAATGTTACGTTACGAGATTTGATATACACTGTTGGTCAAACTAAATCGTTGAATCATTAAAAACGCGAAAATATGATTAAAATGATCACACCATACATAAACAACAATTCGCACATCTGGTTTAGCAACTTTCCACCTCTTGAGGATCTATAGAGATTTACCTCAATGCTAGCTTGTCTCATCGGGCGATGTGTCACGTTGAAGACTTTAGAAGGTTACGTCATTTACAACTTGACATTCTTCCACAGCTATGCTTCATTCGCCGATAAATCCCACAAGCTGCAGTGCGAATGTGTATCTTACGTTATACAATTATTACTATTTTTTTGACAAACGTGAAAATATGACTTCTGTGACAAACCGAAATATTTATCTCAATGATATGCCCGACGTAGTCTCGATACACCAACAAAATATTTTATTATTCATCAATTCTCAGGACATAAATTTGTATTTTAGAATGTTCTCAAACGTTGGACGATGGTGTGAAAGAATAGCCATGGATAGTTGAATGAAATTATTGTTTGCATTCTTGGCTCTCCGGAATGAGCCGCGTCTCGGTCAATATTACTGACGTTTCCGCCATCTTGCTGTGGCCTTCTTCAGAGCTATACTGCTCAGAAGCTGCCAGCAGTATATCTCTGAAGAAGGCCACAGTAAGATAGCCGAAACGTCAGTAACATTGACCGAGACGCGGCTCACCCCGGAGAGCCAAGAATGCATTGACTCCGGCTGCGGAAGCCTACGAACCGAATTTTTTTTTGTTTATTCTTGGCGTGTCTGACAGTGTGTGAGCCATGGCCCACCAGCGCGCTACCGCTGCTGCGGTGTCCCGGCCTCACCGCCATGGATTGAGGGTGTACGTGTGGTTAGCACGAAGGCATTCCCACGCCGTATTCTGATCTTCTCAACCTGAGAAGCGAATTTTCTCATCGTCACGCAGCAACATATACTTGGACATTGCTAGGAACACGCACACTATAATCTTGCCTGACCGGGGTCACGTCATGGAAAGATAGAAGGCTACCCAATGAGCTAAGCTGCCAAGCGCAGATGAATGAAGTTACTATTCCTAAAAAATAAAATATCACGAATTTCTGTTGAATAAATCAAATTTTATAAATTAATGATGCACATGAACAGTAAAAATTGAAGGAAAGAACAATAAACTATATTATTTACATTAAGTATTCGCACCCCGTTAAAGGATTTTATCTGCCCTTGCATTCATAACACTGTTTTAAATATCGGTTTATTATATCAATGCATTCATGACATAGCTTTCTTTCTTCTCTGTTATTTCCGGTTCACACATCACGTAAGCTTATTCCTCGCACTGTCATAACTTCGTTTTTGATGAAGTTCTTTCCTCACTTCCTTTCTCAAATACCAGTTTTATTATGTAACTCCTATTGCTATAAAATATTAGTCCGTAGAAAACACAGCCATAAACGTCCTCTCTCGAATTTTTTATCCTCCTTGCAAAGCCTTTTTTATTCTTCCATTTATATCCCCACGCCGACCAATGTCCAACGAGGTTATACATAAATAATGATCGATGTAAATGAACATGTAATATGATATATTACACTTCAATATTCTTTTCTTACTCCTATGTCATTCACCTTGACCTTCAAAACTGCGACAATGTGTACGGTTTTGGCTTGAATGAAATTTAATTTTTAAATGTTAAACACCAACGTTCATCATGGACATGTAATAAAAAAAGATGTTCATATAAAGCATGATAGATTTTGACAGGTCAAAATCACTTTCACATTCTCACACTTACTTCGCAAGACGACAAATATTGTAATCGTCTGCCCGAAAACGGGGAATTTTCGGAAGAAAAACTCTAATTGCTGACCCTGGAAACAAAAAGTGTATAAATTCAACGGAGAAATATACAAAAAATATCCTCTAACACATGGTGCAGCCAGAATCCATATTTTTGGGGTCCTGGATATCGAAAAATCGATTGATGGTGTCAGTCTGTCGGTTGCGGTCAAGGCTAGCGCCTAAACCGTTCAGACAAAATTTTCCAAAATTGATATTCCCGATCGAACTAAACGAAATCAAAGCTTTGGAATTTTCAAATTGATATTTTTACTTTTGAAGGAACTTTACATCAGAGTTTCCCCGTGGACTATAATTTTACATCTACGCGTGTCTTCTACATGTAATCTACATGTAGTCTACATGACTCTTTACGTGTAGACTTCGTCGTCAATGTGATCTGTGTAGACTATTTTTTTGCGTCAAATATCCGCGAAAAGTTTATAATACATAGTAATAGTAGAAGCATGTTGAAATGTAATATTTAAAAAATATTTTTGATTCAGTAAGTTAAACAAAGTATACCATTCCTAATGAAGAAATGACAACTTCCGTCAACATCTCAAGAAACCAGTAGGGCCTTGCTTTAACTTGCACATCTGACTCTTTCCCTTCTAGTGCGATGTCACCAACCCGGTACGCAGAAATATTATGCAGATTCATGTCCTTCTCGCCAACCTCTTCTTCCTCCGCCAGAGATGCCTACCAATAAGTATTTCACATGGTAGGAAGGCAATTTCAGCCATAACAGTCACCTGTCCCATAAATATTTTTAAAGCAAAACTTGAATGTCAACCTGAAATTTATAAAAATGTTTAAAAAATTAAAATAACGTTAATTCATAATGGTACTACTCCTTTAGATGCAAACCAATCAATTTGTAGTATTGTTTTAAATAAATTGAATATAATTATAAATAAAGTTTGGCTTTGGGGATGGAAAATGGCCCTCGTAGATTGCCCTGCCTCTCAAAAAAGATTACCTTTGCCTGCGCAGAATACGCTGTCTAGACATTGTCTACGTGTAGATGCAGATCTCACGTTCGTTGAAATTCCTAATATTTTTGAAATTTGCAAAAGTGCAATTTTTTGGCGTTTTCCTACAACTACGGTATTTTAGGATGCTTTTTCTT